AAAAAAAAAAAAAAAAAAAAGAAAAAGAAGAGTACCTCGTGCGATAAAAATCAGAGCGACTCGTTTACGCGGTGTACTGAGCGAACGCGCGTTCCCTCTGCAGCTCCAGATGGTCCTTCATGGCCAGGACCGTGGGATGATGAGGCGGCAATCCTTCATCCTCCACGAGATATCTGAGTGCTTCCGTGGCGCAGGCGTCCCAGCCGGCGTTCCACGACACTGGAACCTGCTCGTCGACGCTGTTCCCTTCGTCCTCGTCTTCGTCTTCGTCTTCGTTTTCGTCTTGGCTCATCCTCGAACGATCGTCCGGACACCGGCGATCGCGAGGCTCGATGACGATCGTTCGCTGTTTGCCGAACGTACGCGACGACTTGTCCGCCACGATGCCCCGACAACAGCTGCTCCCCTTCGTGTTACCGGCCTGTTGAACGGTGTAACTGTGCTCCAGGTAACTCGTCCCTATCAGCTCCACTCGACGATCCCTGTCGAAACTGTCCCCTGTTCTCGGATGCTTGCTGGAACTCTGTTTCAGCTGATGGGACTGTTTCAGCTCCATGGCCAACGAGGCGGCCAGCTGATGCAACAGCCTGGCGTTCTCGGGTCCGTCGTCGTCCTCCTCGTCGTCGTCCTCGTCCAGCTCGTCGAGTTCTACGCCCTCGTCCTCGGAGGAGGACACCAGGTCCTCCGGATCCTCCTCGTCCACGCCCAGCAACGTCAGCAACCTCTCCGCGGCATCTGCGCAGATCCATTCGCGATACATTCGCGTGTGTAAGTATATGGTTGAAGGGGGAATGTGGGAGAAAGGAGTGGGGGGGGGGGGGTGAGGGGACGAGACGAAGTATGGGATTTTGAAAGTTCAGCAATCGAGTTAGCGTAACAGTTTGTCGTTCTGGAGTGGCTCGTGAAAGTATTTCAGGAGTTTGGGTAGGTTTTACGAGCAGCAGAATTGCCCGGGGGAGAGCCTGTGATAAGTAGAGTATCGTTGATTTTCGGACTTCCGGGGTTGACTTACGAGTAGAGCGGGGGCGAACTTTATGCATCGAGAACGAGGATGCGCAACATCCTCGCAAATATTAAAGAAAGTGCAAAGTACAATGACTGTTTAATTTCGATTGGACATTGAATAAGAATCAATTTGTTTGATTAAACAGCAGGAAGTTGAAAATTGCTGCCTTTTTATTGCTGCGCAATATCTCGTATTTTACGCGGTAAAGATCGCAAATAAAAAAGAAATACTTTAAAATGATGAATGATTCATTAAAACATTTTAGAACAATTATCTAGGATAAAATTTGATCGACATAATTACAGTATGAAATTTCAAAATATTTTACGCAGCGCGCGCACGCACACACACACACACACACACATGAATGTATAAATATTTTCACGTACGTTATTTCTCCAGCAATTCGCAAATTCTCGGAATCTGGCAATTCACGAGTCGCCATTCATACAGAAAGAGAATTTTCCTCCAGTTAATGAACGTTGATTTAAAAAGAAGGAATGAAAAAGAGAGAAAGATCGAGAAAAGAACGATCCTCTGAATGATTTATGCAAAATCAGAGCAAACTTTCCAAAAGACCACCATCGATGAACAGACTGCGAACATTTATGCAAATTAGATTCATATTTTCACGAATATAATTGAAAGTTTATTTAATTTATACAATGTTATGTAAATATACAATTAGAATAACCTGATCCTAGACACGATGAAAAAAAAAATAAGTCAAAATAAAATTACTTCGTATAAGTAAAATGTTTTCAAGAAAATAAAGTTTGGATGTAACTTTGAAACTCTGATTTTTAAATTGAAATTTTTATAACGTAGGTAACGAAGAACAGGGAAACATTTTTCACCTAAATATTCTCCTCTCAAACTGTACGGAATTGCTCTTAAAAATTCGCTCCCGGCTCTCAATAAGTTTCCAAGCTCGATTTCACTAGAAACAAAGTCCCGAGTGAAACAGTTTCTCTTCCCTGTACATTACGAACATTCTACGTATTTTTATATATATCGAGGTTCTTTATTTTCTCACGTGAAACCTTTGTCGTCTTAAATCAGAAAACTTTCGCCCCTTACGAGGCAAACTTTTCCAATTTTCTAAAACTCTTCTCTCGGATACAGATATTCCTCTTGCGTTTCAGAGTTCTCGAATTTCCGTCGTGAACGCGAAAAGAAATCCGCCGTTCGACGACGAATTCATTTTCGCTGGCGTTCGAAACGAGCCGGCGAATCTGTGAAAAGCCGGGGAACTCGATTCCCGGCTCGATGAAAGCGAGCCTCGCGAAAGAATCAAAGAGGATCACCGACCGGAATTCGCCTCGAATCTCCGTGGCCCGGTTTCGCGTCTCGCTCCTGTGGGAATCCTCCGTCATGGGCCTCCCCATGGGAACTACCTGTCGCTACCCACCCCGTCATCCGCTCCTGCGAATCATCGAATTTCGCACGAGTCCTCTCTCCCCTCTACCCTTCGCTCTTCTTGATTGTAATAGTGCGAAACCATAGTGCAGTGTGGACGTAGCGCGTAGCCAGAGCCCTGTTCTCGAGTACACCCCTCTGAGAACCCTCGACGAGAGACGTCAGGTAGGGCCAGTTCGTTCCTCGTCTATTCCTGAGAACGTGGATACCGGCCAGTGGGATACGAACGCTGTTCGATCGAACGATATTTTGGGTTACGACGGACACTCTTTTGAGAGTTGACCCTCCGTTGGCAAGCGTATTATTAAGTATTGTCCGTCATGTACACGTCTGGACTTGCAATGAGAAACTGGATTGCTCGATAAAGTCTTTACTGTATAGTACAATTAATTTTTAAAGAACGTTGATCTTCAGAAGATATTCGACTAATTGGAACTAGTCCAAAATTGTCAAAACGAACATTGTTATATATAAAACAGTGTATTTTTGGAGATTTGAATAATTCTTCGTAAAACGCACAAATAAAAGCTTGCATATCCTATTGTATTATAAAAATTTTCTGTTTCTTTTTTACTCTAACGTTTCTGATTTTATGTTTTAGTCGTCGTTTAGTTCTAGTTAGTTGAGAAAGTAATATTTGAAAGATTTTTTTCTTCTAAAAAGACAGATCACCTATAAAAGGTTAATGAAAGAATTTAGTTAATAGATATTTGGAGAAGAATGGGACAACAGTGGTCGAAATGAACTTCATCCACTCACGAGAGAAGAAACTCATAAGTTTTAATAAATTAACAAAGATAATGAACTAACAATTGATATAGATAAATAATTTAATACCTTCATAATGTATGAACAAGTTTTCAAAACGTGGATACATGTGCAAATATGTAGCTTTCAATTTAAGCGGTGTTACAGAGAATTAAATTATAAATTAAAATTGACGGGGTAGGAGAGATTGGATTAGCTACATTTATGCAGAGGCAGCGCAGTAGAATGAAAAAGATGATCTACAAAGTGCATTATATTTGAATAAGGGAGATTAAATAAGTTGGCAACTATTATATTGCAGGGGATGGGGAGCAAGAGGATTGAACAGCAAAGTCTGTTCTTGTTATGAATTATGTAACAACGTGTCGGGGGTTGGGTGGGATAGTTGGAAAGCAGAATTTGCGTCCGTTTAGGGAAATAGCGTTTGTATGGATGGTATCGTATTTTCCTGCATAGTGAAGGATGTTGCTTTTGATAAACGAAGGGGGAGAGTGAGAGTGGGAGGAGGATAGAGGATGTATCCTTGGCGTGATTGAATGTTGGAAATTGTGCTTGCGCCATTCCCATCGGTGCACAGTCGAATGTGACAAACAAAATTAATCAAACTTGAAAGCTCGACGCGATTTTAACGATCCATTTACTCTGTAATTTATTCGAATCTTTCTCTTTTATCACGCTGCGAATGTTTTGTGTAAAGAATGTTCTGTGGAAAATTTCAAGGGATTTATGGAAATGTTAAAGGGAAATGTTAACTTTTGCACTTTGAAAATTATACTTTAATAATTAATAAGAAAGAAATTAATGAATTTTACAAATAATTAATCGTATTCAGAAATAAAAACGCTAACGCTCGAACGAGTTCCGATGAAAATCTTGATTCGTGTATGTAAATTGAAGACAAGAAAATCATCATGCCCGTTCGTGTCGGATCGTTCCCTTTTTTCCCCTTCTCTCTTTTTTTTTCTTAAAAAAAAAACTTCGTACGTTAGTCGCTCTCTTTTTTTTTTCTTTTTCTTTTTCCTCCTTTTATCCCATCGACACCAGAACGAAGTCTGGACCAGTCAGAAACGAGTTCATTGTTTTTTTTCCCTTCGAACGACAACCCCCCAGGACGTGGACGCCGGACGTTCCCACAGGGATAGCCAGATTTAAATGTCTTCTTTCTGTGATCTCTGGAGAACGGGGAGAAGTTATGTGGATTGACTTAGGTTAGTCAGAGATTTAAAGGGCTTGAAGGGTAAACAACGTTTGTCCATATCTCACGGATTTGATGCGCTTGGAATAATTGCGAGATCGTTAGTTTGAATTTTCAACAACAACGAACGGAGTTCTATTACCGACAAAACTTGCTATTAGTAGACTACGGAGTATAGTATCACCTGCGCATAGTATTTCCACGAAGTATTCCATTATCTTTCTTATCTGGTTTCTTTGTCTTTCTTAATCAGTTTTATGATTGTGAACTAGTTTGTCATAGTAAATCGAAAGAGCGAAGTCTTTAGATAAATTAATAGAGTAGACTACTTATTACGTACTTCAAATATTGCGTTAAATGAATAATGTTAAAAAATTGAATATTAACTGGAGGATCATCATTAATCAGAGAGTCAGCTACAAGTTGCAAACAAAGGAGACTACATGTAAAATGATTAATCTTAAAGGGCTCTAAATTGAATATTAACTGGATGGTCAATTGCAAATAATCAACGAAGAAGACTAACTTTTCATTCCTTAAGATATTAAATGAATAACGCAGTTTAATGTTAAAAAGAATCGTTGTATCATGTTGAACTACAAAACAGAAACAGAACATGCTCTACAGTAGAGAAACGTTCAACAGTAAAGCCTCATTTTGTGAAAATGAGGTCCAAAGTTTATAGTAAGAATCCGCTGTTGGGTTACCAAGAGGGTTAAGATATTAATACCCTCATTTTTCATCGAAGTTAATAGAACGCAAACAACTTGACTAATCTAAATCAAGATATTAGACACGAAGGCCAGCACATTGATTTATCAAGAACTCGATGCAAAGTCTAAACAGAATCGATCAAACAGGTTCTGACAGTGGAACTACCAAAATCACCAGTTTATAATCTTTGCAGATTGATAGTGTTGCGTTTTACAGAGATTTGAACGATCTTCGTGCCCATTATTGCATTATAAATCTTTTCCTATTCCTTGCGCTCTAATTTCTCCGGTGAAACATCTACACTTCAGTCGTTGACCATTACTTCCTAACCTTCGTGGGATAAATCTCGAAACAGACTCGATCTCGCTTCCTGGCCTCGTTAAAAGCTCACGGTGCCGGGAATTAAAGCGACTGTCGGGACAACATCGCGGGACGCCAGATAACGACACCTCTCTCTCTCTCTCTCTCTCTCTCTCTCTTTCTCTGTTCTCTTTCGACTGTTTCGAAGTCCATTTATAAGATTCATTAAAGTTTTGCCGGTCGTTACCATTAATCACGAGACAGTGTACACGGGGAAAATAACTTTCCGCTTACGGATCCACTGACCTCTTTCTGAAATATGAATTTTATATGCTAATGGCGTGTGTGGCTAGCTCGGACCGGCGAGTTGCTTCGACCGTTGCTTGAAAACCGTGAGGCATTTCAATCTTCCGACGAAAATTCCGGCAGCCGAGCAATTTCACCTTTACGGGGTGGCTGAATAATAGAAAGGGCCGCGCCGATCGAATTCGCCGCGATTTACGATCAATAAATTTCGGCTTCACCCGCTGGCGTTGTTCACCCGTTGAAACTTGTTCTCCTCGGCAAGAGGAGAGGATGCCTAGAGATGGTGCTCGCCGAATATTCGCGCGCGACGTGCAGAAATTGAGAAAGTATTCGAGGCACGATACGATTGAATTTCATTTACGGTTGTTCGTGAAAGTATTCGAAGGAGGAGCTTTCTCTCCGGGCGTGCTGCGCTCGTTGCGTAGAACATTTTGAAATTTGAAACGGATTTGGAAACGTGTATAGAATTACCGCATGTCGTGCAAAAATATTTTGAGATTGTATTGAACCGTCAGGATTATATCGATCGAGTTTGAGACAAATTTAAGGATGAATGTAATTGTTCATTAATTTGTAATTATTCTAAATTTCTAATTGTCCTCTTTTGCATCGAAGTTGAAGAAACGTTTCTTTCCAATCTGAATCAAAAATTCTATTAAAAAATATATAAGCTCCACTGTTACCAGTGAAAAACTGACAGTAAGAAATTGATTTCTTTCCCCCTTACATCATCAAGAAAAAAAAAGGTTCCCTTCGAGTTTTGTGGAAAAATTAGGCCGATTCCATGGAAGAGGAAAATCGTTGAAATTGAAAAAAGGAGGGGGGGGGAAGATTGTTGACAGAAGAGAGAAACAGAAGAGAAACGCGGACCCCTTTCCCATAGGGGTCTTGGAATAAAAATTTTCTGGGATTTCTACGCATCCCACGGAAGCAGGTACGCGGTTCGGGAACGGATCAAGAAGCATTTCAGCTTGGGCGAGGCTGCTGGAGAGCAACGAATTTCCCATATTCCTTCCCAAGAAAACTCGATTACCCTTGTTTCTTTGACAAAGGACCGAGACGTTGAACCGCGAGCTCACGAACAGCAAACCTACAGACTGCAGGCACATGTACGCCGGTTATTTACGTGACAGGGCGAAGCAAATAGGAACGAAGTTTGCGAGAATATTCGTAACTTGTGACAGTGAATGGGGGACCTCCACAAATTTAATCCTGATCTCAATTGGAAATTTTTGTTCTTTAATATGAATGGAAATTTAACGAGATTTAACAAGAAACTTGCAGATCATTTTTTAAAAGTTTAAGAAGATGATAAAAATTACTTTATTAGTGAAATTGATAATTTGCATATCTGACATTTAAAAACGTGTAATCTTATCGCTTTCGTTTACGGTGTATTCTCCGATTTAAAGAAGCCTACCTAATCCAGTAAATTCCAACGAGGAAACAAACGCACAAAATTACTGGAAAATAAGAGAAAGAGAAGCTGAGAAGGCCGGAGTCGTGAAATAATCGCCTTTTGAGCCAATTAAAGACGACTGAAAGAAACGAAAGGAAGAAACTTCGATCGCAATCCCCGTCGACCCTACAAATTATCGATCGAAGACGATCAACCGGAGGGACCGGTAGAAGCAATTAAAAGCAACCAGAAAGAATCTAAAAACAAAAAAAGAAAGGGCAGACCAAGCGCTTGGTGTAGCTTGTCATGGAATTTGCAACTAATGATAGGATTAATACGTATAATACGTGTAATTAATATAAAAACATAAAAGTGACGATAATTATATAATAAACATATTTTATATAAGTGTTAACATATTACTAAATTATTCTTTAGTTTCTATTGAACTTACAGTACGTAATAATATATTTCTCATTACATAATTAAATTTTATTCATTGGTCGAAGCTTGATTAGAAACTTCAAGATAAATTACGAAAACTCGTAATAAAGATAAATAATAATAAAACTCGAAATTTCAAGCTAAGTGAATTTGAAGTTTAGATGACTGACCGTGTCTAACCCCGATCGATCAATACGGTATCGATCCCAACACACAAGTGGCAACCAATCGATACGCAAATCCTTTCGGGGAGGATCGCGTGACCGAATGTTGCACGTTGCCTCGTGGAATCCAGCAGCCACCATTCGAAGGTGAAAGACAGGCTGAACAGGAGGACCGGGTAATTAGGAGCAATTACCGAACGCGTTTAAGTGGACAGTTCGAATCGCGGTGAGGGGGAACAGGCGAGGTTTTCTTGATTATAAAGTGGTAAACGAAACGTATCCTTTGTCGCGGAGCCATCGCGCGAGAGAACCAAGAACGTAATTACAGGAATCCTCCGGACCCGGACCATTTCGACCGGCCGAAATAATCGCGCGAGAAAATCTCTTCCTTGCCAAAAAAGCAATTGCCTCGTTCCTTTTTCTGTCAGCCCTTAGCCGTTCGGCTTGGCGAGAGGGCTTTGACTCCTTTTTAACCGAGAACACGGAAGCTTTACTCCTCTTTCGGCAATCTTTCGTTGTTATTGCCCCCGTCTACGTTCCTTCCGACTGTTCCACTTCAAAGCTTTGGGTTTCTTCTGCGGAATTGCGGAAAACTGCTGTTGTTACTCTTCGAGGAATTTCCCCTCCTCTGTCTGGAGATTTGTTTCACGATCGTAGTTGGTAAAATTAAACGTTTGTCTTTTACTTTTCTTTTTGTTCAATTTTTGGCGACGATGCACGTGAAGTTTTTCGATGGAGAACATCAGAATTGAAAATCATGCATGGAAAGGAAATTTATTGCAAATTGTCTTTTTTAATACGTGGAATCCCCCTCGTTTATTTTAGAAGATTATTTAGAATGAAAAACTTGTAGAAAATTGATAGAGATAAAATAACGCGTAGGATTCACAGCGATTGTAAAAAGTATACTTTAAATGAAACGAATAATTTTCACAGCAGTTTGCTTGCAACACTTCGCAAAACAACGAAATAAAAAATTCGATTACCCCTTCTTCCATCTTTCATCCCTGGTCTGTCAACACCAACGGAAGTAATTCCGTAACCATTACGCCCTTCTTCACGACAAAGTACTTTACAGCAAGACTTTCCCTCTTTCCTAGCCATTCTCGTTCGCTGGAAAGAACCAACGAAGAACCAGCACGAAACCGTTTTTTCAACGATACGTTTATAACGCGGTACCTGCGAGCGGTTTCGGTTCTATGTTGAGGCAACACGAAACGAAAGGCCGTGACAAAGAGTTTTCTCTCGCGGCTGTAAATAATTATTCTGTCTCGGGGAGAGATGTTAGGGTTGAAAATATTCCCCCCTTTTGTACGGTGGGAAGGACAGTAATTGCATTCCTGCCAATTTTCCCCGCAGCTGAACGTTTATTTAGCTTAACAATTTTCGAGAGCCACCCCTTACGCCCGCGGGCGCCACCCGCCCGCCCACCACCCAAGCCTCGGCGTTATTCTGGCTCGTTACACGCGAACCTACTCTCTTAATACCGTTTTCCCCGCACCGGCGTTCCACGAAAATCTAATTAACGAGCAAATAAAGTACGCGGATGCACTGGTTTCACCAGCGGGGCGGGAAGGGAGGGAGGAGTGTAAAACAAGAGGGTAGTTAGGAATAGAAATGGAAACGAGGATATTCCAAGAAGCATTTGAATTGCAAGGAACTTGTTTGCCGGCTTTATGAATGCCTCGAGGGATAGTAATATTACCGGAGTAGAAGAGAACGAAATATAATACATAGCCAGTGTGAGACTCGCGAAAATATTCGACCACCTTTTACGGGTGAAATTATTTGAATTGTATGAAATATAATTTATTTACGACGGTAGACCGCGTTGAGGGTTGATGTGCAAACGACGAAACTTTTTTACACAGTGATGTAGATTGATTCTCCTCTGAAAAATTTGGATAAACGACAACAGATAAAGATTCTCCGTGCAACAGAGACTCTTTCGCTTCAAGTAGATAAAACCAGAATTCACGATCTGACGAGATGAGACAAGAAGCTTATCAATTCAGAACTACTCTTCGAACTATCGATTGTTTCAAGATCGTCTGTATCTCCATTTAGTGTAGAAGAGTTTTAAACAAACGGAGCTATTTATTTTATAAAAGATTATTATCACGACAAAGCTGTCTTTAGTCGCTGTTAATTAACTCGATTGCTAGTGCTTCGGCTGTTGGGAGGAAATTCAGATTCGTGTACATTGTACTCAATTGCACCCCTAATTGCGACCACTCGGAAAACTTCCCTATTTAAACGAAAACATCCTGTTCAGTGAGCCACGGTTTCTCCTTTGTCCGGGGGGAGGGAGGTGGGGAAAGAGGGGAGAAGAGCTAGAAACATGGGGTGAAGAATGAAAGTTTAATTACCTCGGATTGTCGGGGATGAATCCGCGATGTCGGTTGCCAGATCAACGAGCTCCTCCAACCCTCCTCCATCACCCTCGCAGTCCATCATCGTGTCCTGAAATCAGGAGATTCGTTTTACGGCCTGTTCGTTCAATTCTGTTCGTTATTCCGACGATCTTTTTGACACTGACAATAAGATTGAATTGTTCAAATCGTCAAACTCGTAAGATCGAAATTTTTTCTTCAGTTGAACAGTTAAGAAGCGAATGTTTTTAGAAAAGATTAATGTTAATTTTTGTTGGCAGAAACAAAATTTTGTTAGCAAGTTGTGAATGTTTATGAAGTTTTATGTTTCTATGAATGCAACGAAAGAATCTACTAAATATTATAACAAGAACTCAACTTTGAATATTTTATATATGTTCAATTTAAATTATCAGTAGCCTGTAGATGTTTTAGATCTATTTGGTATCTAGAATTTTCATAAATTCAAATTTCCATAACAAATTATTGTTAAATGAAGCAGACTCTGAAAAATTCACTCTTAAAATAACCAATTCTTGCATCTCACTTCACGGAGAGAAATATTTTAAATTCAAAGTACATACTTTAATTAAGTTAAACTTCAACATTCCAAGGAAGGGATACGTACAACTCGATGTACGTTTAATACAGTTACAAAATAAACGATACAACAGGAACATCAGATACTCGAAAGCTGGCTATGTTCGTAAGGGAAGAAACATTCGCGCAGTTCAGAAAGTAAAAGAAAGCAGCAAAGAAACGTCCATTAGAAGAGTTAAAGAAGTGCCGCGAGGTTGTTGCCGTCTTCAAGTACCTCGATACTTTCCAAAAATTGAAAATGCAGGGCTTAGTTGACCAGTGTGTGGCGGTCTCATTAACGTAATACTTTGTTATCAACGACCGTTCGTTACTACTTTCACCGCGGAAATAACGTTTATTTACGAGAAAATTGCACGCCACCGGCTTGACTTGACGGCAAACGTTTAATTGCCCTCGATTTCCCATAAAATCCCTGGCTCTCTGCATCGAGATCAACCGAATCGCGGGAGCGTTCGTTCGTTAGCCGGCTCGAATTAAATGCAACTCGTGGAATCTCTTAAGCTGATCAACGATAATGAGAAGAGCACGAAAAGAAAGAAAACCGAACAAGTCAAATCGAACAGATGTTACGTTTGCAAATAACAATAAATATAACAACGGTGTTTTAATGGTCCTTTATAATTGTTCAGATTTATGTAATTTATCTTAGTACAAGCAATACAAAAATAATTATTGGCGAGTGCATGAAACACGTTCGAAACGTGTTGACTCTGAGTTCAATATACGTACGGTGAGAAAGTGTTTTTTGCTTTGGTAGGTAAAGGTAGTCGTTCAAGATCGCAAAAGTTTAATTTGTCGAGTTCCAGATGCCGCGAGGACCGTCGGTGAAAAAGAAAAGTTGCTCGGTAGCAATAACCCACAACTACTGGACGCTTTTCGTATTTATTGCTTGGTTTCTCTAGGTCACCGGGTGCTAACGCCATTTCGCCGGTACATGCAATAAATTTTCCCGAATTTACAGATAACCAAGGTCAGCCATAAACCGGTCACTCGGTAGCCAAAAATGCTCAATGGAAAGTTGGAAAGACCAAGTTTCGGTACTCGAAATGAAAACCAAACTGCTCGACAAACTGTCCCATATAACGATGGTCGTTCGAAGTTTGAATTTCAAGGCAAAACGAGATATTCAACGTTTTTCGACGTTACGAACGTTCGAGTTATGGTTTTCTGTTCCGATTGTTAAACCAGGAAGAGAAAATTTCAATCATTTCTTTAGAATGATATAACATCTGAATGTTTGATGTAATACTTGCAATGAAGGTATAAATCTAGTTCTCTTAAAATATGATTTAGAAAAATAACATTGAATACAATTTTCGAACAAAATTACATTTCTAGAATATGTTTGTCAAGATATTCGTATGTGACACAGGGAGAAATGAAAATATTTTAGAGAACCAATGGAGAATTTCTTAAATCATGGAAGTCCATCTTCCATAGGACAGAAGAACTATAAGATAATTATGCAAACGGCAGATAAAGACGCAATTTTACGAGAGCATCGATCGTTTACAAGGTTCAAAGACTCCTGGTTGTCGTCTTTTAATAAGATCGTGCCCGAAGACTGTCTCGAGGCGCGGGCATTTTAATCGAAACGGGTAGACGTGATTTTAGGATGTTGAACTACCTCCGCGTACGTAAGTAAATCTCTATATGCAAATTTTTAACCGCGCAGATGGTGTTCATAAAGCTATCAGAGAATGAAGAAATACTTTTCGAAAATGAAACTGAAAATAATTAATTCTTCACTCAGGAGAAGAAAAAGGACATGGATAAAGAGAGAGGAAAGAAGAAATTTAATTTGCGTGAGAAGCGTATGCGATGCAGCACGTTGCGATACAACCCGGCAAACACGATTTCGGCTGTTATAAAGTAGCTTCGAATATGTAAATCCTGGCGACGCAGGAACAACTTCCACGGCTCGTTCAAGCTACAATTAAAGAGGACTGCTCAATTTATGCGCGATTAAACGCGGACGGGAATCGGATCGATCGTACCCTCTGAAACAGGTATATATATACATACACGGACACATACTGAAGCTTAGTTCATTGTAATTTCAAAAAGGAAAAATCTCTTTGAAAATGTCTGGGAACGAGAAAGGAAAATAAGGCAAAAAAAAAAAAGAAGGAAAAAGAGGGAACGACGGAAGAACATTTTCATCGACGGGCCTCGAATGAACGAACGAAAGTAATAAACGCCGATAAAACAGGCCGTGGACGAAATACAAAATAGACGAGTATCCTATGGAGGCGTCTAAAAAGCGACAGAAAAAATATTTCTTTGCCAATGGAAACTTGCCGAGGAGAATTCATTTTTCCGGTCTTTTTGTTTCGTCTCTCTTTATTACTCGAAGGTAATAGAACCAATTCTTTTCAGTCTCGCGAAGTTCCTTTGCCTCAGTCGTGAGTCTTTGTTGAGAACACAATTTGTTCGTTCAATCTCGAACCAGTTTAAGAACAGCTTTGTGGTAAGACCGTGTTAGCAGCTTGGAAGATTAATAGCATATCCGCAATATTGATTCGGAGAGTAAATAAAGCTTCTCTGCAAACTGACCCGGTTTTCACTTCAAAGCCGTGGTTAATTGAGGCCTTGACACCAACAAGGATGCAACTGGATCGGAAATGCAGTTTTTAGGAAACAAAGGAAACGACTCGATAAGGTATTTCATAGTCTATTGTTTTTGATTCTCGAGGACATAAATTTGCATCTATTTGTACTATGCACAAGTAAATTATTGACTGACTGCGATGAATCACTATAAATTTATTGCTATGTTTATTATTACAAAATAGTGTTCTGTATCTATTGTTTGTCTGTATGCAAATTCACATTATTTTAATGGTAATTTACAAAATACGATCCAGATAAAACATTGTTTTATATATCACGATAACTGAAAAAGTTAAAATATTCGATCAAAAATAAAATCTAATATAAAAATTTATTTCCAGGTGTATACCTAGAAGAAATATAATTGAATCAAGCCTAACTTAGCCACTGTCATGCATGCCAGTATAAAACAGTCCAATTGTTCAAGAGTTAATTCGAAAGAATCTGAAAATCTGGATTCGATAAAGACCCGAATCACGTGAAAGTTAGATTCGAATAGCAGGCTACGGATTATGTGATTACTGAACGTAATATTTGCGAACGAATCTCGCGTAGAAACTTTCACTCGATTATCGCCACGATTGTGCACGAGAATAAATTGAAATCGTACACCGAGGAAAATGAAAGATCGGTGATAAGCAGAGCGCACGCGAAAGAAGAGACATCGCGCTGGTCGATTCTTTTCAAGAGCAACGCTGAAAGCTCTCTGGCATATTTCACGCGATAAAACGTCGCGTTCTTGCGATGAAAACACGAGGCAACAATAGGGAGAAAAGCATAACAAACCGCGGCTCGTTATAAATAAAAGTCTGTAACGAGGTAAAAAATGAACGCACGAAAAGATGAATTAGCGTGGTTAAAAAAGGCTAATAAGCTAACAAGCTGTTGAGGCTGTTCTCTTTTTGCGATACTCAATTAATCGCGAACGATTGATTGATCTACATACGCGAGTAACAATCTCGCGTGTAACTCTTGCAATTTTCTTCAATTAATTCCTTTTTTAAATTACAGATTACGTTTAAATAATGTTGATGATAAATCCACGCTCATCTTTTGTTTTTACAAGGAAGTAATTTTAGACTTGAATATGTTGTCAACTAACAAGTACGTCTTCAACCTACTCAAGATTCAATTATACGTTCGAGTCCTAACATAAAAGATTTTTTTCTTGTAATAGTCAATTTTGAAGTTCAATACGTTGCTAACTAACTCAAAATTATTTTTATTAATAATATCAGTTAGTTAGAGTAATATCAACTGTGTTAAACTAACATTAGATTTTAGATTTATCGTCTAAATTTAAATTTTACTTAAAATTTTTCAGTTTATCTTAGCTGCATACTTTATATAAAATAGTCTAGCTCGTAAAAATCAGAAGATGGATTTACATTTTTCTTGTTCAATAGTAATTTCGTGTTCGTAAAAGCAAATCTGCTGTCACGAAAAACGTCGAAACATTCAATCGTAGTTTTCACTCTTCCCCGTTGTGTAGCATGTTATTAATTTATCCGTAAAACGTTAATCACAAATTAGCCTCGTTATGGCTAGCAACCCCCTCGACAGGCTTATCAATTTTAAACGCGCATAAATGCCCGATAAACGCGACTAATTTGTTCATAAAATGCTCGCGCAAATTACTTCCGGCTTCCTCTCCGGCCGTCATCGATCTAAATTGCAAATACAAAGGAATTTTAATAACGCCTCGGTCGTTCACTCGACAAACATCAATATAAATTAGACAAATCAACTTGCGTTAATTCAACGTGAAATTGGATCATTCCTTTTTTTTTCTATTTGCGCGAATGAATGGGAAAATTCATGATAAATATCGGTGGAAAATTCGACACTCACGGGTTAATGGATTATCGAATCTTTTCTCTCAATGCTACAC